GCGCAGACGATCAGGAACGCCGGCCCTCTCCCACGCATCGACGACCTTCTCGAGCGATTGGGCGGCGCCCAATTCTTCTCTAAGTTGGATCTCAAGTCAGGGTACCACCAACTCGAGATTCGCAAGGAGGATCGCTACAAGACCGCGTTCAAGACTCAGTATGGGCATTTCGAATGGCTGGTCATGCCATTTGGCCTTACGAATGCCCCAGCCACTTTCCAAGCGGCTATGACGACGGAGTCCCGACACATGCTGGATCGTTTCGTACTTATATACCTCGACGACATTCTGGTTTACAGCCGGAGTCTGGACGAGCATGTGGAACACCTGGGCACCGTTTTGGAGCGGCTACGACAGGCCAAGTACAAAGCTAACCGCGACAAGTGCGAGTTCGCACAGCAGGAGCTGGAGTACTTGGGACACTATGTGACGCCGCAAGGCATCCGTCCGCTTGCGGGCAAGATCGAGGCCCTATGAGTATGGCCCGAGCCCTATGTGACGTTCGTTCATTCATGGGGTTGGCGGGCTACTATCAACGATTCATCACCGGATACTCCAGGATTGCTGCACCTATGACGAGGTTACAGTCGCCAAAGGTGCCATTCGTATTCGATGACGACGCACGCCGGTCATTCCAAGCACGTAAGACGGCTATGCTCATGGCACCCGTCCTTAGCATTTATGACCCCACCCTGCCGACACGAGTGACTACGGACGCTTCCGGCTATGGCATTGGGGCACTCTTGGAACAGCACGACGGCGACGACTGGCACCCCGTGGAGTATTTCAGCCACAAAGTGCCTCCCATCAACTCGCTTGATGATGCAAGGAAGGAGCAGCAACTCGCATTCGTGATGGCTCTCAAACGTTGGCGGCACTTCCTCCTTTGGCGTCGTAGGTTCACATGGATCACAGACAACAATCCACTGACCTACTACAAGACGCAGGACACGGTGAGCAGCACGATCGGACGATGGATGTACTTCATCGACCAATTTGACTTCACACCAAAGCATGTCCCCGGCCTCTCCAATCGCGCAGCAGATGCACTCTCGCGAAGACCTGATCTTTGCGCTATGACCCATCATGCCTTCGCATTCGACGAGGAGCTTCAACGACACTTCATCCGGGCATATCAGTCTGATCCGGACTTCGACACGCTCTATGCACAACTATCTTCGGATCACCCGCCGGCCAGCCATTACCGCATTGCCGACGGGTACTTGCTCCTCCACTCGAGAGGCAAGGACTTACTATGTGTCCCACGCGACCGTCGTCTTCGGACTCGCCTCCTCGGCGAGTACCATGATTCACGACTCGCCGGCCATTTCGGAGTCCATCGCACTATTGCACGACTTCGACAACGATTCCGATGGCCCGACCTCATTACCGATGTCACTCGGTATTGCGACTCTTGCGAAGTTTGCCGACGCAGCAAACCCCGCAACCGCAATCCCTACGGCGAGTTACACCCGATGCCTATCCCACGGGAACCCGGTCTCTCCATTGCCATGGACGTCACCGGTCCGTTCCCTCGCGACCGGCTCGGGCACGACGACATCCTCACGGTTGTGGACCGATTGAGTAAGTACGCGCGTTTTCTCCCTTGCAAGTACTACTCCACGGCTCCCGAGCTGGCACGCCTCCTGCACACTGGTTRGATTTGTGGCCACGGTGTACCAGAAGACATTGTCAGCGACCGCGACACTCGTTTCATGTCGGCGTTTTGGATTGCTCTCATGCAGGAGTCCGACACAACAATGAAACCAAGTTCGG